CCCCTCTTTGCCGATTTAAGCGAACCAGGGATCATGGATAGCAGCAGGATCTTGCGGTCATCAGCAGTTTCAGTGCCTGTCACTCTGAGGTATATCCGCAGCACCCCCTGCCAGAACCCCCGAATCATTGGGCAACTCCACCAGATATGGGTCATATGACCCAGGGAGGCATCACAACGCCAACAGGAGGCAGACACCGCTGGCTAGCACTGATGGAGGGCCGTGGGGCATCTATACGACCGGGTGAGTATTTTAAAATTTTTCTCATGTGCCCGACTAGCAATGGAGAGGGAGTGGGTGAGGGCAAAGGATTTCTCACAGTCAGCTGGTGCGATGGATGTGTCTAGTTCCTGTTCCCAGGCAGAGGTATATTTAGGTAACTCGGGGGAAGCCGCTAGGGAGAGGACCGAATAGAGAAGAGAGATAGCATGCTGCGGAGGTGTAGATGCCAGGAGAAGGGAGTCAAAGGCCATCGCCTCCCCCTCAAAGCCCTCAGGGCCTCCGAGAGAGGCGACGTACGAGTTAAACTGTCCCTCCGCTAGCCAATCCCGAGGGCTTGGGTCAAAGCGTGCGTCTAATGCTGAGGCTCCATCGCGGAGTGCCAAGAGTACCCTGTGGTGAGAGGCCTTAGTCCATCTGCCGAAAGAGGGTCCCCTCAGAGCAGGGGGAAAGGCCGGGTTCCCGAACAGAGGGGTCATTGGGCCCAATGGGGCCGTTGGGCCAGCCGTTTGACATAACAGTCCCACGTCGTTAGAGTGTGGGCTGTCAACTGGGGGAGGGAGGCGGCAGTCGGTCTGGATCCAGGCGGGACCCAGGGTAGCGCCACCAGATCCCCTGTCACCAGTGTCTCCTCCAGTTGGACCCACTGTTTCTCCCCCGCTCTGTGGAACCAATCCATTATGAGGATAAGGATAGCAGAGGCGTGGTAAAGGAAGATGTCTGGTGCCCCGGCCCCACCTCTACACTTTGGAAGATCAAGCGATCTGTAGCTGAGTCGTGAACGGGCAGACCCCCATGTAAAGTTTGCAAAGATCCGTTGGACCTGTTTCAGATAGAGAGATGGTAGGATTATGAGTAGCATCTGAGACAGGTAGAGAAACCTGGGAACGATGTCCATCTTGATGATGTTAATTCGGCCCAGCCAAGAAATATGTTTGTGGTCATAGGTGGCGAGGTCTTGAGTCACTCTCTCTCGAGTAAAGGGCGAAAATTGGCAGAGTACAGATCCGTCATATCCGTTGTGAGAAATACCCCTAGGTGTTTTAGGGAAGTGGAGCATAGTCGGAAGGGGTAGTTGGTAGTCAGAAGGTGTAGGTCCGTCACTCCCAGGGATATATTGAGGATTTCTGACTTAGTGAGGTTGACCCGAAAGTTACTCAGGGAGCTAAAGCATTGGAATTCACGCAATATCGTGGGCATGGCGATATGGGGACGAGTCACGTAAAGCAACAGGTTGTCTGCGAATAATGCGAGTTTGTACTGGTGGGTCCCTACCTGCAGGCCCTGGATAGCAGGATTTTGCCGAAGAGCCACCGCCAGGTGTTCCATGGTGAGGATGTAGAGGAGGGGGGATAATGGGCAGCCCTGCCTAGTGCCGTTGGAGATCTAGAAGCTAGGGGAGAACGACCCGTTTACTCGTATCTTAGCCGATGGGTAAGAATATAGGGCCATTATGTTCCTTAACATGGTGGGTCAGATCCCCAACTCAATCAGGGAGTGATGGAGAAAATCCCAGTCTAGACGGTCGAATGCCTTGTCCGCATCTACGGACAGAAGGCAAAGTGGCGTACCCAAAGTTTTGGCGTAATGCATCAGCAGGAGTGTCCGGATGGTGTTATCTCGGGCCTCCCTTCCCTGGACGAACCCCACTTGATCTGTGTGGATCACTGCCGGGAGAAGTGGCATCAATCGGTTGGCAATCAGTTTGGCAAGCAGTTTCACATCCACATTAAGGAGTGATATCGGCCTGTAGTTCGTGCATAGGGTATGGTCTTTATCGGGTTTTGGAATCAACGAGATATGAGCTTCCAACGCCTGAGCTGGGAAGAAAGACCCTAGCGCAATAGAGTTGAACACCTTCAAAAGGAAGGGGGCAAGTTTGTCACGGAATAAGGTGTAGAATTTTACAGTGAATCCTTCGGGTCCCGGGCTTTTACCCGCAGGTGCGGATTGAAGGGCAGAGAGCAGTTCCGTCATGGTAAAGGGTGACTCCAATGCCTCCGCGTCAGAGTCGCCCAGGGTCGGGAGGGCCGTGTGTTGGACATACGTCGACACGTCTTCGGCACGATCTGAGGGAGGTACGTCCTCGTCCAATAGATTGTAGAGAGAGTTATAAAAGTCAGTAAAGGCAAGTTGGATATCTGAGGGTGAGCTAACCAAAACACCGGACGTGGAATAAACGTGTGGGATATACGTAGAGGCAGATCTAGGGTGTAAGGACCTAGCCAGGGCTTTTCCTCATTGTCCAGAGCGATATAGGCCCTGAGGGCCAGCTTGTCTGAATATCTGCGAGTGGACAGGTCGAGGAGCCCAAGGAGTTGTTGTCTGGCCTGGGATGTATGCAGCAAGAGGTCCTGGTAAGGCGAATGTTTGTATTGAGTCTCCAGATCTGACAGGGTTTGGAGAGCCTCCCTAATGCAGTGGGAACGTTCCCTCTTAAATCTAGAGCCCTGTTGAATGAAAAGCCCCCTAAGCACTGCTTTCAGCACTTACCACTGAAGGGGAAGGGGAGTAGGATCTGAGGCATGGTCCTCCAGGAAATGGGTGATCTCAGCTGAAATAGCCGAGGAACATCGCAGATCGGTTAGCAGGGACTCGTTAAGCCGCCAGTTCCATGCTCTAGCCGGGGCCTGGGCTACCTGTAAGGGGAGCGTGACCGCCGCATGGTCGGACCATATCATGGGACCTATGTCACACTCTGGGTTCCAGTCAAGCAGATGGTGTGAGAGGAAAAAGTAGTCCAACCTGCTATAGGAGCGGTGCGGTGTAGAATAGTGAGTGTAATTGCGAGCCCGTGGGTGGAGCACCCTCCAGACATCGAGCAGGTGGAGGTGGTTCAGGTGTTGCTTAATCCTGCGGAGCTTAGGGAAAGACACCACGGAACGGCCAGTGGATGAGTCTAGATTGGGTTCTAGGGCAAGATTAAAATCCCCACCCACTAGCAGGGAGCCCTAAGCAAAGTCTTCTATAACCCTCAGGTACTCAAGTGTGGCAGCGTCTTAGCCTGTATTGGGAAGGTATAGATTGGCGAGGGTGAAGGTCCTACCCCAGAGGGACATTTTCAGCAAAAGGTATCTACCATAGGGGTCTGTCCGGTGATCCACCACCGCCGCTGGAAGAGACTTATGGAGGGCAATGAAACCCCCCTAGATTTGTGGATGGCATTAGTACTATGGAACACCGACCCCCATAGGTAGGGGCGGCGCCGTCCCCGCACAAGTGCCCAACACTGAAAGAAACACGTCGGAACAACCAATAATAATGTTAAACAGCGCATATCACAGCAACCCGTAATAGCAAAGCATGACTCACCGTGGACATCAACTGGTGTCCTCAAGAAATTACGCCCCCCACAAGGGCCAGCTGGGGACCCGTGCCCAACCTCCCGCCCCTCCAGACAGACAACTGGGGCCCGGAATGGTACCGAGTCCCCCCCTCAAAGGGTATGGTTGGGGCGGGGGTAGTACCCCCACACCAGGAGCCTCACACAGAATGAAACAAAACATGGCAGGCTGCACAACACCTAAGGAGGAAAACTGGATGTTAATGTCGGAGCCGGAAGGGGCACAGGCGTAACGTCATTGCAGATCAGGAGAAAGGCAATAGAAGGTAAACAAGGTACAAAACCGGTGCAGCCCGGGATAGGCATCAACCCTCATTAGAGGAGGGAATCTGCAGAGATGGGCCGGGTCCTCGTTGGGTGGAGCGCGAGCGCGCCCGTCTGCGTCATTGAGGCAGGACGTCCCTGGGCACGTGACCCTCACCAGTGAACAGTGAAGGTAAATCCAGCCAATCTGGGACAGGTACAGGATCAGTCCCTAGGAAGCCGAATAGAAGGAAGCCGAATAGATCAGGAAGCTGAGTCAGTGAGCGTAGGTGGAAGGATTCCGGGCCTTTACGAATCTGTAAGCTGAAGGGGTGTCCCCAGCGATAGGAAGCTCCAACTTGGCGTACGACATCCAGCAGTGGCCGCACCGATCTGTGCATGGCTAGAGTGAGGCGGGAGAGATCCGGGAGAAGTTGTATGGATGCTCCATCAAAATCAATTGCGCCAAGTTTCCATGCGGCACGGAGGATCTCCTCTTTAATGGCAAAAAAATGCACCCTACAGAGAACATCTCTGACACGGTTAAGATTTCTCATGGCAACGCCCAGGACACGGTGCACCCTGTCTAGCTCGATGGCAGTAGTAGGGGGTTTGCCAAGGGCCTGGTTAAGGATAGCTGTAACTGTAGCATGCAGTTCAGGGCCTTGGGTAGCCTCTGGGATTCCCCTCAGGCATATGTTGTTGCGGTGACTCCTTTTCGCCATCTCCCACCCGCAGATGCAACTGCTGGAGGTGAGAGCAGTGGGCAGTCTGAGCCGTTTCAAGGGTCTCCAGCCTGGTCGCCTGGGTTGATACTGAGGCTGATAAGGCCGTGAGACGTGAGTCTGTGGCGGTGACCCTCTGGCTGAGAGCATTCACCTCCCCCCTCAAAGCCCCCTCCAATCTTGAGGCCCATGTATCAAAGCCTGCCCTAAAGGCAGCAAAAAGATCATGCACCTCAGTAGCTGCAGACTGCTCTGAGTCCAGGAACATGGGTGGCATCGATGGGTCCAGGGTGGCCGAGGACGGGATCTGGGTCCCGGAAGACTGAGGAGGCTGCAGGGGATCCTGTGTTCTCTGCCCTGCTGTGCGTGCAGAGGAGCGGAGGCTAGGGGCTGACGTCAGCGGCTGCAGAGGGTTCGGTTCCGCCTTTCGCGCCAGAGCGATCTTCGGCGCCATATTGCGGCCTACGGTGATGGTAGCTGCGTCCGGGCGCCTGGTAAAAAACGAGGCGATGTCTCGGGTGGATGAGGAGACAGGGGCGCCGGGTGAGTCCTGGTTGTCAAGCATAGAGGGGGAAAAGTCGGAAAGTCAGTGTATGAGAGCCCCGGTGCAGCAGAGCTCACGGCTGCACGTCTTCACACCACCATGGTCGGCCACTCCCCCCACATACTTTTTAAAATTCTATACAGTAGAGATAAGCTTGGGTTCGGTCTGAACTTGACTTCATATGAACCATGAAGAAAGCTGTCCGCACCAACCCAATCAGCTGCAACCATAAACAATGGGGCAGGAAGTTGGTGACATTGTTGATATTTCCACATGGCCAGGTTAGGTCAATGTAATTGGCCAGATATGGTCATGTACCCATATAAGGTCAATGACATCATATGCATCTCACCCCTTTGTTTACAGCAGTGGGGCTGTGAATGCACCAGCCACGGCTAATTGGGCAAGCACTGGCTGTTCCATCTGGGCTTGAGCAAGCTCAAGTCTTGAGCTCATCGTTACTAGAGAGAGAGAGAGAGAGAGAGGAAAATAATCTGTTTGTGGTCTGTGCCTCTTTTGAGGAGGTCTTCCCTCAGCCAGGACAGGAAGTGTTGGAGATCTCTCCAGTAAGGACACAGACTACAAACACTTTTTCTCAGTAAAACGGGGAAGGATTAGATCCTCTGTCAGTGACAACTGCTCTGATCATTGGCTGGAACTAGAATTTAAAACATCACTGGAAAAGGTTATTTTTTTTCTATTTTTTTTTGAACCATCAAATCATATCTAATATTACCAAAAAAATGTTTGACCCCCTCCACCCCCTTCCCCCACAAAAAAGGTAAGTTATAGCCAAATGGCCTGGTCCATAAGTGCTAAACAATTATTTTTCTGTATATCCTGCAACATCAGGAACTCCACTAATATACTACGAGATGTATTATTTTCATCTAAAAAATGCAGATTTTGATGTTTTTTGCTGTTTTGAAAGATGGGTCATCTTTTTGTTGCATGCATGCAGATTCTCTATTGTTAGGAAGTCTTTTTGCTCATGCACCAAGAATGTCCTCCAGTCTGATAAGAGATTGATGTCACTCTGAATTTAACTATAAATATTATTATGCTGATGGCCTCTATGCCAAAAGACAGACTTTATTACAACAGGAACATGTTCCAAATCAAACTCTGCTTCATGTTCTGGGGTATACAAAGCATCACATATGGCTTGCCAATTGGAGCCAACCAAAATCTGGATGGCAGTCTGAAAAGTACAATGGTGAGTGCAAATCTATCTATCTATCTATCTATCTATCTATCTATCTATCTATCTATCTATCTATCTATCTATCTATCTATCTATCTACATCTCTCTCTGTATATGTGTTTGTTTTAGACAGTAAGAAGATGCACTGCGATAGACTGCTTGCGATATTCAGTACTGTATTTTTATATGTTATCCTAAGCAAGTCTATGGGATGGTTTCTAAACAAATAGCATTTAGTTTGCTAAATCATATCCTCACATTGTCTTTTGCTGCATTTAAATGCTGCTGACCTCCTGCAGCCTCAATTCAACCACGTCTTGTCTACGTGTACTACAGCAATATCTGTGTGGCAATTCTCAGGGTGGGTTTCTTGATGGTGACAACAGTTGACCATGACTGCGTAATATTTGTTGAAATGGTAGCATGTAATTTCCATTGGGAATCCATGTGACAGGGCAGGAGCGCAATAAGAAGGACAAAGTGTTGCAACCCTAAAAAAGGAAAAACTGGAACAAGGAACTAATGGCACAATCAATAGGTTTTTATTTCAAAGTGAATCTATATCCTAAACTTTTCTTGGGAGTTAGGGATAGAGAGGAGAAGGATTAGAACCCCTATCAGGTTTTACTGGGCTCCATTCCCTTAATTTTCTGTCTGGCGAAGAGGTTGTTCCCAGGACAGTAAGAGGAAATCTCCCTAATGGAGCCTCAGATAGCATTAAACCTGATATGGATTCTAATGCTTGGCAACTCTATCCAAAACTAAAAAATACACATTTTGACTATAGATTCACATTAATGGCAGCTGTAGATTTAACAATATCGGAAATCCTGTTAACATTATAACGCTTATGAGATTTTAATGATCGGGTGAACGTTCTTTAATGAAGAGACGCATTATGAGAGCTTAATCTCAATAGCAGCAGCAATTTGGAATCCATTGAGTTAGTTGCAGAATGGTATGAGTTTACCCCAAGTTATTTTCATGTTTCTATTGATGTTAGGTGTGTCCACAGACAAAGGTGGAAGGTAGGCAATGCATACCCTATCCAGCTGCCCAGTGCCACCTGGTACTGGATTAACTGAAATATTCAGCTTGGCCAAGCATTCATATTCTGGCCAAGTGAGACAGTGGGGAGAAGGGGGGAGGTGGCACAGACAATTGCCGCCAACATTTCCTATGTGGTGGTTGGATGGAAGTAGGACTGAGATCTAACAGGTCCAATTAACAAGCTTCCTCAGAGTTGTCAGCCGCTGGAGATCCGTAGACATAAGGACATTACAAAATATTCATAAAAATAGTACAATATATCATGTCCATGCATGCCGTATCCAACTTTCCAGTGCCAACTGGTACTGGATTAACGTAAATATTCACCTTGGTCAAGCTTTCATATTCTGGCCAGGTGAGACTCTAGGGGTAAGGGGTAGGGGGGTGTCATAGACAACTGTGCCAGAATTGTCTATGTGATGCTTGGATGGCAATTGGACTGGGATCTAACAGGTCCAATCAGTGAGCTTCCCAAGAGTGGTCAGCCGGTGAACATCCATAGACACGAGGACATCACATGATCTTCCTAAAAATAGTACAATATACCGTGACCATGCATGCTGCATCCAACTAGCCAATGACAACTGGTACTGGATTCTTTGAATATTCACCTTGGTCAATCTTTAATATTCTGGCCAGGTAAGGCAGTGTAGGTAAGGGGTAGGGGGGTGTCAAGGACGATTGCTGTCAGCATTGCCTATGTGGTGGTGGTATGCCAGTAGGACTAGAATCTAACAGAGGTGGTATGCCAGTAGGACTAGAATCTAAGTGAGCTTACCTAGAGTGGTCAGCCGGAGGACATCCATAGACATAAGGGCATCACCTAATCTTCCTGAAGATACCACAATGTACCATTATTTTCTGAACATGTCTAATAGGAGTAAACCTTATATGATAATTAAACGATAAATAAACTTTACCTTCTTCTGTACAGGCCCTTACAACACAAACTGCCACTATTTTACCAATGGATTGGGATTTTGCCTTGCAGAAAGCAAACATGATGGATCTGGGAAGATGTGGAGTTCCTGATGTTGCAGGATATACAGTAATACAAATTAATTTGAAATGGTCCTCCTCCATCATAAGTTACCAGTAAGTATATTTGCAGTTATAGCATAAAGCGGCCCTCTGTGTAATTTTTGTAGTTATCCTATAAATCTATAGAATATATATATAAATGAACTGCATAGCAAGCTAACAGCTACAAGGCACTGGAATGTACACCCACTGTGAGTGTGTATATGTAAAAAAAATGAATAATGAATGAATTATCTATAAATCTCACTTGCAGCATTCTAAGAATGTTTAGTGTCATTCCGTTCCCCCATCTCTACCTAACCCCAATAAGGTACCTTTTAATAGTTATAGGGTGTGCCACTATGATGCCCCTTTCCTGCTATGGAGAGAACTGTACAATGCTAAGCTTCTTCAATTTAATTAGGCGAAAAGCAGCCTACGAAGTGCATTTTCCAATCAGCAGGAATCATTCAATGTTCAGATTTCTCTGACTCAATGAAAGGTGAAATCTGCTTTTGATGCATGCTCTGCTACACTGTATATATTTTCAATTGCACTTTACATGCCCTAAAAAAAAACTTGGCTTGTTCTTAGACCAGTCCCAGGAGCGTCTCTCCCCCTCCACTGCAGCGGTCTAGGAATCCTCAAGTCATCCTGTCCAGTGCAGTGTATAGGACGTGAGGACGCCGAAGGACATACTGTACCATCGTTGCAGTGGAGGAGGAGAAAGGCTGGAGGGAGTGCTGCTGGCCCTGAGGATCGGGTCAGTATAATAAAATTATATTGAATTATTTCTTTCAATAATTATTAATTTCTTCCCTAAGGATCGGTAATCTACAATATCATATTGTTTTTTTGGCATTATATACACCTTAAAATTAGCTCCAATAAGTTTCTGCTGGGGCTCTGCTAAATAACATACAGGAAAGGTTTTTAATCCACTGCAATGCAATTCTTGATTCAATTGCTATGCCAACAGCCTCAACCTCTGTTTGGAAATTAGATCATTCTTTACAACTCTATAGAAAGGAGTTGTGGTGACCAGGCTCATCTCTTATCTTTATCTCCAACTCTTGCTAAAATCTCAAATGCAGTTACTACAGTCCTCTACCCCAACATGTTATCACCTGTGACTACATTTTGCTTGAAAATGCCTTAAATAAATCTTTTTCTTTCATTGAAATGGTTTATTCTGTGATGTCATTGCTGAGTACCAACCACACCCTCATCACATAAACTTATATTTCAGAGGGGGAAGGTTAAGACCAGGTCTGTTACTAGGAGCTGATTACTGAGTAAACTGGGTCCAACTCTGATGCAGAATGCACTGCATAGTCATATAATCACCATGAATGGCTGCTGTAATAGGGCACTGGAGGTAGTAGTATGAAAATGGAGGTCGTTAGTAAATGTTATCTGACTACATATCTATTCCTGTGGCTTAAATTTGGATTTAAGGAAAACTGAAAGGGATACACGGAGGCGATGTCACAACTTGTTTCTCCCACCCTTTCTATTGAGAGTGAGAGTTGCAGGAGAAGTTCAGGACTTCTCTGCACCCTTCGGCAGGGTGCACTCTGAAGGAAAAAGTTTACTTGTACATCATGGATGTACTTGCCAGGCATCGTTCCTAAGGCAGCAACGTGTAGGTGGCACAGGAGGGTCAATAATTTTCAAGAAATCAACTGCAAACAAACCGATATTCCTGCCCAAGGTGGCAGCCAGTCATTTCTTGTATTTGAGTCTGATTTTAATCTAAGCGAGAGACTTCCTAAATTAACATTTATCTCCTGCACTGTGCAGGATTTTTAACTATACTCCAGATTTACCACCATCAGAAGTAGATAATGCGATACAAAAAGCCTTCAGAGTATGGAGTAAGGTGACTTCACTTAAATTCATCCAGCTTCAGAATGGAATAGCAGACATTATGATATCGTTCGGTGTGAGAGGTAAATTCAGTTCATATAATTTATAACAGACATGGATATATGTACATGAGCTTTTAAAAACTGTATATCTGTCGTGTCATCTAGAACATGGAGATTTCTTTCCTTTCGATGGCCCTTCAGGTGTGCTAGCTCACGCCTTTCCTCCTGGTAACCATATTGGTGGAGACATCCATTTTGATGATGAGGAGACATGGACTGCAGATTTGTCTGGTAGGTGGCTTCATTCTATTTCCGGTTCTTTAGGGTCTGTACTTATTAAAGCTATGATGCTTTCTTGTTGTAGTGCTCTTTATGCTCTTTATGTAAAAGTAGTGACTAGACTTATAAGACTAGCGATGGAGCCCTTTTTCTGACGGGCAGCTAGGCTAATGAAGTTATATAGTTGTGGAGAAAAAAAAAAAAAGATCAATGCAGCCCCAACATATTTGGTGTGAATGGACCCTTAAGCTGAACATACACAACGTTTTTTTCTCATTCAGCCTCACAGAGCTGAGCAAGAAAAAAAAACTCGCTTAATTCCCCAATCCATGCTAAACACCATGGATGGAGGAATCTCCCCCGCCACGCAATTGTATTCTGATAGTGGCGGGTGAACTGCTGTCATAAAACCCAAACAAGCTCTTTTGTCAAAAGTCAATCGAAAAATCAATGTGTCAAACTGGGGGTCCCGAGGGGTCCACGCACTTCACAAATTTCGGTCGAGTCAGCAGGACTTGGACAAAATGTGGGCAGTTTATAGACAGCTCTATGTAGAGTTTAAATAGAACATGATTTCTATTACAGTATGAGTAACAGTATCGTTTTAAAACTTTGCCTTTTCTTTATAGGTTACAATTTGTTTTCTGTGGTTGTACATGAGATTGGTCACTCACTGGGACTTGGACACTCTGGTAATCCTCAGGCTCTTATGTTTCCCTTCTATACCTACTTGAGTTCAGAGGTCTTTATTCTTCCGGATGATGACGTCCTGGGAATACAGGAACTGTATGGTAATCTTTTCCTTTTTTTTTTCCTTTTGTCTTATATATGAGTGATATTTCACTATATTGGTCAATATGTATCTCTATATTATGCAAACTCATTCTAGTGGATGCTATATAGTGGATGCTAACACAGGTACTCTGTACACTTACACTATATTGCCAAAAGTATTAAAACAACCTCCAAATCATTGGATTCAGATGTTCTGTGAAATTTCCTTGCTACTAAAAGGGCTATACACAAAAGGGTGAAGAGTTTGGAGAAGACAGGAGAAGTGAACAATCTAGGCCAAAATAGCTGTTTGGAAAAATTCTCCAATTCAGCTCACTTTCCAGTTGAGTTATGTTGTCCTAGATTGTTCACTTCTCCTGCCTTCTCCAAACTCTTCACCCTTTTGTGAATAACCCTGTAAATATTCCACGGTCAACTGTTAGTGGGATTATAACAAAGTGGAAGCAACTGGGAACAACAGCAACTCCGCCACAAAGTGGTAAGCCACGTAAAATGACAGAGCCGGGTCAGCGCATACTGAAGCGCACAACTGTCTGCAGAGTCAATAGCTACAGACCTCCAAACTTTGTGTGGCCTTCAGATTGGCACAACAACAATGCGTAGAGAGCTTCATGGAATGGGTTTCCATGGCCGAGCAGCTGCATCCAAGCCTTACATCACCAAGTGCAATGCAAAGCGTCAGATGCAAGATGCAATGGTGTAAAGCACGCCGCCACTGGACTCTAGAGAAGTGGATAGATGAAAGTAGGGAAAAGAGGAAAAGCGCACTATCAAGGGATACAAGCTAGCTGGGGGGTGAAATGAACAAAGCATAACAGTGTGCAAGCTCTTTACAGACAGGGAGAGGAACCCCGTGGTAGCAAAAATGAAGACAATATATATATTGAGAGCGCTACTACTGTTTGTAAGCAGTTATAAAATGGATCAGATGGATCAGGAGACAGAGCGGTGATGCCGTTGCGAGCGTGCTCCAACTGAAACAGCGAGGAGGTGGTGAACAGTTGGAAGTGGTGTGTAGGGGGTAGATAGCTACGCGTTTCGAGGCGAAGCCTCTTTGTCAAGCTCGGGTGAAGAAGGAGAGCTCTCCTTCTTCACCCGAGCTTGACAAAGAGGCTTTGCCTAGAAACACAGAAGGAGAGCTCTCCTTCTTCACCCGAGCTTGACAAAAAGGCTTCGCCTCGAAACGCGTAGCTATCTACCCCCTACACACCACTTCCAACTGTTCACCACCTCCTCACTGTTTGAGTCGGAGCACGCTCGCAACGGCATCAGCGCTCTGTCTCCTGATCCATCTGACAAAGAGACAACCGCTGACAGTGTCTTGTTATACAGCATCCAGATACAGAGTGTCCTTGGCCGCAACGGCTCAGCCCGGCCAGCTGAGTCTCCGAGGCGGATAGCTGTTTTCCCACCACAGCGATTGTTCACATAGGTTTTCAGCCTTCCACACTACTGGGCTCTAACTGGCTGTACCTTCCTAGGGGCTCCACCTGACTACCTCCAGTGTTCCCAAGGACTTCTCAAATGTGAGTTTTTTATAACTGCTTACAAACAGTAGTAGCCAGTGGCGACTCTAGGAACAATATATAGGGGGGGCACATAAGATACCACAGTCAAAATGGTCATTGAAGCTGTACGGCAGCGGTCGATTTAATGGGGAATCAGCGGGGGGGGGGGCACATGGGGGGGCAAGGCATAAGCTAGGGGGGGCAATTGCCCCCCTGTAGAGACGCCTATGGTAGTAGCGCTCTCAATATATACATTGTCTGGATAGATGAAAGTTGTCACTCGCACTCGATGATATTAAAGTCAATGCTGTTTATTGACTGACATAACACACATCTCCTTAGCAACATTTAGAGACCATGCAGCCCCGTCCTGTTTGCCTGAGGACGGGGCCGCATGGTCTCGAAACGTTGCTAAGGAGATGTGTGTTATCTCAGTCAATAAACAGCATTGACTTTAATATCATGGAGTGCGAGTAACTACTTTCATCTATCCACATTTTACGGAGGCATACGTTGTCACCACCGCACCCAGTTGGATTTGGGTTTTTGTCTGGTCAGGAGTGCAGTGGGACAGGAGGATTAAGTTTCTAGAGAAGTGGAGATGTGTTCTCTGGAGTGACAAATCACACTTCTCTGTCTGGCAATCCGATGGACGTGTCTGGGTTTGGCGGTTGCTAGTAGAACGGTACTTGCCTGACTGCATTGTGCCAAGTGTAACGTTTGGTGGAGGGGGAAGGTTCAATTGGGCTTTAAATGATCTATCCATGGTAAAATAGTATTGGACCCTACTTCACACCTCCTTCTGTCCTCAGCTTTCTCTTTGTAAGGATCAGTTGGGACCTATCACTGCTGCCATTTCTTTGGTTGATATAGGCTGGCTGTAGATATGGGATGACTGCTGGATGTATGGCCATGATTCAGCAGCAGAAGTGTTTTCATGTCTGCTACATGGAGATACATATCTGTATTATCCGGAGTGGGCATGTTTATTCATTGAGCAGACGTGTCAATTTTAAACTCATTTTGGGGAAAATAGATGACTCATTGTCAAGTACATATGATGAATGGATTGCTGATGATCTAATGCCTATAGGCGAGGGCATCCCTAGCCATTTTGCCTCCTGAGGTGGCAGGGGTTGAGGAGGGGTGCTGGTGGTGCACGCTTTAAGGGTGGAAGTTGGGGGGTGATGGGCTGGAGGCGGGGGGTATGGCTTCTGCATCATGTAGCAACCGGTGATGTCACTGATTACCAGGAGCTGAGTGGGAGGCTGGCCAGAGCATCTGAGGTTAGCTGAGAGCTGGGTGGGGAGATATGTACAGCCCTTACACATCTCCCTACCTGGCTCTTAACAAGCTTGGATGCTCTGGCCGCAAAGGGGGTGGCAGACACATTGTGCAGTAGAGCATGCCTTTCTGCCTGCTGCTCCCCTGCGTGACCCAAAGAGATGCTGCCTGAATCAACAGCCTCAGGCAGCCTTATTAGGGACATCCCTGCCTGTAGGTAAATACTCCAACACCATCAATGTTATAATGGAGCATCAAATGTATTTTGTTTTTCCATAATTATTCTCCAGGCTCCAAACCATCATTGAATATAACCCCAACAATCTGTAGCCAGGAGCTTCCTATGGATGCCATAGCTCACTGGGAAGAAAGTGTGATTACCTTCAAAGACAGGTATGATCTAATACACCTGTAGTAGTAGATAATATTTTTTTAACATATGGGTAACCGATGCCTACAACGAGATGAGAGAATTGATTTGCAAATCTAGTGTATCAACTAACCGCGAACATGTTTAACCAATCTGAACGCATCTGTCCAATTATTGATCATACAGTTGATAAATCACAATTGAATCTCCATAGATTAGACAGATCCTAATACAAATATTCAGGCAAATTAAAATTGACCAAAATTGCCCCAAAATCAACTTTGCTTGATTTGATTGTCATGCAGGTCTACACTCAAAAGGCATAAGAAGACAGTCGGTGATTCAAAGTGTATGTATACTTTTTGTTTTGGATAGAGTAGAGAAGGGTTAAAACTAGGAATGCACAGATACCAATACTAGTATCGGTATCGGTGCCAATGCCGAGTATTTGGGCGAGTATTCTGATGCCTGACCCGATACTTCAGCTTCCGGGATCAGGAAGCCAGGCAGCGAGTCATTACATGCTGCCCGGCTTTCTGATTGGCCGAGAAGCTGGCTCCATGCTCCCTCGTCACAAGTCCTGTTTAGCACTTGTGACGAGGGAGCATGGAGCCGGCTTCCCGGCCAATCAGAAAGCCGGGCAGCATGTAATAACTTGCTGTCCGGCTTCGTGATTGGTCAGGAAGCTGGGCGCTGTGTAATGACATGGTGCCCCCGGCTTTCTGATTGGCTGGGAATCCGGCTCCATGCTTCTCGTCACCTCGTGATGAGGGAGCATGGAGCCGGCTACCCGGCCAATTGGGAACCTGAGTGCTGCGTCATTAGTCGGCGCCCGACTTTCTGGTCAATCAGGAAGCCAGGTGGTGAGTCATTACACACCGTCTGGCTTCCTTAATGGGACTTCCGGTATCGGTATTCGGTATCGGCGAGTACGGGAAAACATATATTGGTACTCGTACTCGATACCGGGAAAACCAGTATCGGCGCATCCCTAGTTAAAACCCCTGTCAGGTCATTTATTTGCTGTCTGTGTCATGAGGCATTGCAAGACTTTGACAGCTACAGACATGACTCCCAGAGGCACAAGCATGATGGGATTTGTAGTTTCACCACAGATGGAGTGATGAGGTTGCCTATCCCTGGTCTAACCCCTCAGCACTTCATCCAGAACAAAAAAAAGTTTTGCCTTCACATGCACTTTAACCCTTTCAGGACCGCCGTATGTGTATATATACGACTTCATCCTGAAGTGGTTATACCAAGATCACGGCTGCTGCTGCCAGCCGCCGAGGCCCTGTCATCTGCATGCGAATGAACACACAGGCGTAGGGCATGCACACGTATGTAAATGAGTATTGTGCCACACATGTTAGGTATCACCACGAACGTCTGAGTGAGAACAATTCTAGGGCCATGATTCACTGTTAACTCTAATGGTTGAGCAATAAAGGCTTTTAAACTGTGGCCTGTGGACAATTTTTAATACCATAGGTTTTTGCCATTGCACAGGGACCCACAGTTTTAATGTTTGACATATTTGGTATCTATTTACTTGCTGTAACCCCATTTTTCATATTTTACCAAAAAATGGGTATTAAATTGTGTTTGTGTGCACTTCATTTCAATGGGGTGTGGCGACGCGCGTGCTCGTGGGGGCGGGGGACTTTTAACATTTTTGTTATTATTATTATTTGATTTATTTTATTTTATTTTCATTTTAAAAACTGTGACCTCCTCCCCAGCTCCCCGCGGACACCAAGGACGCCGGTCCCGGGCCCATAGGAGGGGCAGAGCCCGGGAAGCACAGAAGCGATTTGGCGACAGGTAAGTCGCCAAAATCGCTTCTGTTGTAAAGCCGACAGTCGGCTCTACAAGTTTAAACAGAGTCCCGGCGGCAAAAGTCGCCGGGAGTCTGTTTAAACAGCCCCGATGCTGGCGACGTACACTGTACGTCGTCAGTCACGAAGGGGTTAAATCAATTTTTTTCCCGATTTGATAAACATTTGTGCAAAAATCGTGCAACATAAAAAAAAAATTAAGTTACTTTTTTTTTATTCTACGGGACCTCTGCTTTCAGAAAATATATAATTTTAGTGTATGTGTGTGCAAAAATTAAAAGATTGCTCCCTTACTAAAGTGGTTAATCCAGTGGTAACTACTAAAAGAAAGCATCTGATAGTTCTGGGTGAACATCAAACAGAAATGAATCCTGTAATAAACCTTTACAATTACAAAATGTAAAGAACACAAAACTGCAGCATATTGATTAATGACTGAGGTTCAGCCATTATACTAATGAATGATAGAGGATTAAGAACACTGTAAATAATCAAAAATATAATACAAGATACCGGTAACTGTTTTTTGTTTTTATCTATTTTTATTGTTTATTTATTTTATTTTAGAACAGTAAGGTATCATCACCCAAACACTCCAGAATCTAAATCATTCCCAACTCATTCTCTTTGGAAAAATGTTCCAGATACCATAGATGCAGCTTATAACTACCGAGGAAATGAAACTCTTTATTTATTCAGTGGTAAGTAAAGACAGTATTCAGTGCATATCACTTTACATGTATAATAATACTTTTAGTAGCTAAACATAACATTTTCATACTTGTGTATACATCAGACCAAAAGGAGGGACAACTGAGGAGGAAAGAGAGACAGGGATTTGGTTCCAACAGAAGGACAGGCCCTCAAAATGAGGGACATTTGGGAGGTATAAGAAAAAAGGTGTCTCAAAGTCCATTTCCACCTCTGTAAGTGATTTGCATTTATTCTAGGGATGAAGAGGTGCAGTGATGATGTATACATGTCACATTTTCATGACTCACATTGCAGGCTTTCTTCATTTTTTTGAGGGTTTTATTAGACCTGAAGCCTAAAAAAAAAAAATAATCAAAATTTTCTCCACAGGAAATTCAGTCACACTAGGGTGTCATACTGTAATCAGCTGCCCCCTCCCTGCCATATATTGTAATGTGATCAGTAAACACTAGCTCTGCCTTTACACACAATACACTGTCGGGGGGAGATATACCTACATTTCTTGCACAGCACAGAGGCAGAAACTTCCATGCGGATATGAAGAGGAAAGCTTACACAAAATGTAAGTTTCTGTGCTCATATACATCAGCTGCATATGCCTGCCTCATGTACATTTGGTGTACATTGCTGGGATATGTTTTTTAAGAATACCTCTGCAAAGGTGGAAATGGGCTTGAATGCTGGTACTGACATCTGGTGCTCCATTTATAAATCTCTGGTATGGCCTTACTGTGGCCATAACACTGCCTAAATAAATAACACACCAGACATTTATAAAGCACAGCTTTAAAATTTGTAATTTACAAATGTGTACTTTCTTTGGTAGTGCCCAGTCACGTGACCTGTCAAAGTCATGTGACTAGCCCCCCTGCAGCATTAGGAGATAGGGACATTCACTCTGCTATAAATAGACCTCATAGAGTTTGACCATCCCATATTGAAGTGAGGCTGTCTAATCAGAGGAACCCTTTGTGAGACAATGTGTGTGGATTGTTAGTAATTATATTGTGAAACCAGATGGGAACCAATCAAATTTCAGTTAACCTAATGATCTGACTGTACATCATTGCTGCTCTTTGAACATTGCTAATTCACATATAGCTTTTGACCCTTTTATTACTAGTACTTGAATGTCCACTAATTGTAAAGGTTTACATCTAGGAAGGAAGTTCTGGGCTGTCATTGGATCGACCTCGCTCAGTGAAGGTCCCAGAGATATTGATGAATTTGGCATGCCAACATATGTGCAGAAGATAGACGCTGCTTTCCATGATACAGAGAAAGGAAGAACTTTTTTCTTTGCTGAAGATCTGTGCTGGAGGTATGCAGCTAGCAAATGCATGGCAAATATTTATTTTCACAAAATTTTTATTCATTTTTAACAATCAAGCAACAAAGGTACATAGAAAACCATGAAGCTGACGCAGCAATGTACAAACAGAAAATATCCCCAATATACAGGCTTATGGGGGGATGCAAGATAGGCACTATTGGGTGAACAGTTGGGCTTGAGAGTGGCCAATAATGGCCACCGTCATCTAAGAGACAACCAGTCGAAGTGGTCCAGAGAACCTTTCTTATCTAGTTTTCAAAAAGGGGGGGGGGAAAGGGAAAAGGAAAGCCCCAATTCACAAGCAGGACAAGCCCCAGAGAATCAGGTCAGGAAGTATGTAGTGAATGGATACTAAAACAGGAAAAATGGGAAAGGATAGAGAGGGGAGATAGGGTTAAGGGGAAAGTAGAAGAAAGGGCATAAAAGAGGGGCAAAGGTTTCTGTATATATTCTGTCTTTAACAGTATTTATCAGTCCAAACACAAACGTGAGAAATATGTCACCAACAGGACTGAGCAAATCTGCTTTGGTCCAGTTCATGAACAGTTTTGCGCATCTTTCTTGAAGTTTGAGAACCTTGTGGGAAGCCCCATTAAAGTCTATGGGGGATGAATCTTGTTATTCAGTTCTGGCCATTTGTAAGGCGAATAAGTAAGCTATTGATAAGCAAAAGGCATGGAGGGCCAGGCACTACTTCGGAAAACATGTACCAATGCCAAAAAAAAACCTCCCTACACACAATTGTCAGCTTACAGCCTACCAGCTCCCACACACACTAATATGGCTTCTGTGATCCCACACTTTTGGAGCAAGCAGGTTGGGTATCCATTTCTTTAAATGATTGGCTCATATGACTCAACTAACCAGGAAAAAAGCTAGGATGTTCCTTATTTCTGGTAACAAACTTGCAAACATTTTGGGCAAATGTTTGCGATTTGTGAACTTTGCAAATGCTGGGTATTCGTCACAATCTCAAACTTCATCCCAGGTCCCCATCTCAATATATACTTTTTCACAGGCCCATATGGTCCAAGCACCCTAAAAACAGTAGATCTCTTTGGAAAGCTACTAAATAAGCAGCTACAGCCGAAATGTTATATACATTTAGATCTGCACATCGCAACATTACATTTAGTGAAGTCCAATCCCTTTTGCTTTGTTAATTCAATACTTGGTATTTGATGGCACTTGGAAAGGTGCTCTCAAATAAAAATGAGACATACACAGACTGACGGCAGAATAAACTGTTGAAGCACAAAGCCAGTGCTTTAAACTTCATGGTTGGCCTTGTCTCCAATGTCCTGTTCCAGGTAGTTCTTAAGTGAGGTGCTTTTCGAGCAAGGACACAGGCACCCATATCTCCTGGAAGATGCATTATATTGTAATATGCTGTGTCTTGCACAGGTTAGTTTAATGTGTTTTTGGGAATAGAGCAGAAGAATTTATGGTGCTGCTCATCTCTGATCCATTTTTTTTTAAAGACAAAAAGGAGAGAACCAAACCTTCAAAGACCAATGCCCAACTGCAACCAAGATTTGTATTTTTCAGTTCTGGACAGGTCAAGAAGGGTTAGAAGGAAGGGCCGGCTTCTTATTCCTGTCTGAACACACATTCCTTCTGTCACTGGCACAGGAAGTTGAGCAAAACTATCTAACAGGGATACAGACATATTTTTATGTAGCCAGGGAAATATGTGTAGATTAGTTTGTACATGAGTGCTGGATGTAACCTGATCTTCTATGAACGTTTGCAGCAATGAGTACATATTAAAGTGTTGGGCAATATCTCAGGTTAGCATACCGGCAATGAAAAACTGGCAGGGTTATGACCTTAAAGTGACACTAGACTCAGAAGTTAAATCTTAAAAATGCATTCAAGTACCCTAACAAAAATGTTTCTTATTTATGTATCACTCGGCTGTAGATCCTCAAATCATCTCTGAATTGGTGCTGACACTGTCCTTCCTTCTGGAGGGGGGCTACTTTTGTTCCCCATGGTCCCTGTATGTGTGTTGTAAACTAGCCACTACTCCAAGCTCGCTCCTGTGATGGACTACAATCGTAACACAAATTAGTAAACTAACCATGAGATTGTAGTCCATCACAGGAGCGAGCTTGGAGTAGTGACTAGTTTACAACACACATACAGGGACCATGGGGAACAAAAGTAGCCCCCCTCCAGAAGGAAGGACAGTGTCAGCACCAATTCAGAGATGATTTGAGGATCTACAGCCGAGTGATACACAAATAAGATACATTTATGTTAATAGTTAAGGTACTTGAATGTATTTTTAAGATTTAACTCCTGAGTTTATTTTCACTTTAAGTGATAACCAGGACAGAAAGTGAAATGGAATCTCACTCACGAGGTCACATACATAAGTAAAAAAGCCTCCAGAACTCCAGAAAAAGAAAAAGTCTGGGCTGGTGCTTTATTTTAAAATGCAGGACATATTTGTTTGTATTTAAATATTTTATTTCTGCTTATTTAGTTATGATGAAGATACAAAGCAGCTGGACAGTGGATTCCCTATACCCCTGGAGTCACAATTTCCTGGCATTGGGAGTAAAATAGATGCAGCCGATATGCATGATAATGGTAAGCTGGCCAATAAATAAAGATTTTACATATGTATCGTTTACAAAGATCTGACCATAAAATCTGCATGGGTTTGTTGGACATGCCATTCCAAAACCATGGGAATTATTATGAGGTTTCCCGCCACCCCCCTTCCTTTGTGGTTATAACAGCCTCCACGCTTCTGGTAAGGCTTTCCACAAGATTTTGGTGTGTCTGTGGGATTTTGTGCCATTCATTCAGCCAAAAGAGCAGTTATGAGGTCAGGTGCTGATGTTGGACAAGGAAACCTGGGCAGCAGTCAGCATTCCAATTCATTTCATTCATTTTCACCTTTGCATTCTCTATTATAGTTTTACAAATGTCTTTCAACTGTGTCCCCATATTTTACTGACTTCAGCCTCAGACTTACAACCTATACCTTTCTTCTCCCATTCAGGCTTCATCTATTTTTACTATGAAACAACACGGATTGAATACGACCCTAGCCGAAATCTCGTCACAAATATCTCCAAAATACTCCCATGTTAATGTAAGAAATGTTATGTATACATATACTATTTATATTCAAACATACATGTTCATAATAAACCTGTTCAGGATTTTTAAAGCCTGTATTAAAATCATTCTTAATATTTGTAGTCATGTGTTATCTTTATTATTAAGTATTTTTTAAGCATTATCGTTAATCATACAAAAAAAAATGTTGTGTAACATAATCATTTTTAATAAAAATGAGTTAGAAGGTCCTATGGAATACTGTGTAGTATTATATTAATAATAAACATGAATGTGACAGTCATCAAACATTCACTACTGGTGAATCTTCCAAGTGAATGTGTTTTGACACGAGTTAAACACCCTTCCTGTCCAGGGCATTTTTCAGTATTTAGCGCTACCGTATATTGGCTGACATTTATTTCGGCATACAATTCCGTACTAAAATGAATTTTATACTATTTTTTGGGGACAGATAGAGCTTTCATTTGTTGGTATTTAATCACCACTGGAGTTTTTATTTTTTACTATATAAAGAAAAAAAGTACCATAAACGTACAATTTTTCCCCCCCCCCTACATTATAAACATTTATTATTACCCAATTTTTTGGTAAAATATAAAAGACGGGGTCACTTCGGGTAAATAGACACCAAACATGTTTGGTCTTAAAATTGCGCACGCCCGTGAAATCGCAATAAACTACCATACCCAAAATTGTCCATAGGCGACACCTTAAAAGCTTTTACCGCTCATCAATTTAGTTTTAACAGTGATTGATGGCCCTAGAATTATTGCTCAAGCTCCGATGTTCCAGTTGATATGTAACATGTGCGCACCCGACACATATTTAAGTCTATATGTGTGTGTGTGTATATGTTGGGCCATGTCAAGGTGTATCCTGCTGCACTCCTTACCGGGTTCAAATGAAAAACCTGTACAGTTCAGGTGGGTGCTTAGGAATGACCACAGATGGCACCGTGAAATAGCACAAAGTTCAGAAATGTCACCAGCACTCCAATTCAAACGTGAAAGAGATCCATTTAATGACACAAACTTGTTATACAATGAAAGCACTTTTGAGGCCTCACTTGGTCCCCTTCATCAGGCTCAGAATGTCGTCATTCTGAGCCTGATGAAGGGGACCCTGTGAGGCCATGAAAGCGCTTACATTGTATGACAAGTTTGTGTCATTAAATGGATCTCTTTCACGTTTGAATTGGAGTGCTGGTGACATTTCTGAACTTTATATGTGGGGGCAGGGAACTTTTTTTGTGTTTTTTTTAATGGCTTACATTTTTAAAACTTTTTTACACATAACTTTATTGCATAACTTTGTTGCTATCACAAAAGCGGCTAAGAAGCCCCCTATGTGATAGCACTTATACAGTAACAGGTTCTCTTTATGGAGACATAACAATAAGACCCCTAATGTCATCTAGGGACCCCCAAAGAAACTGATGAAGCAGAGATCTGCTTCAACAGCTTATCTCTGGTTACAGAAGCCAGAGAAATGACAGCTGAAGCTGGAAGTGATGTAATAAACATCACTTCCACATTCAGAGATCGGAGGGGAGATCAGCAAGAGGATGTGTGCTTTTCTCCCTCCAATCTCAATACAGAGAACTGCCGTGACGGTCCCAGGCCCGCACGGGGCACAGCGGAGCCCGGGATAGGCGGAGGGAGGAGGGGGCACACACTTGCCCCCAACTTACAAGTGCTTGGGGCTCCATAGCTGCCCGAATGCTGTATAAATTGCAGTCAGTTTCCTGCTTTTGCGCGAGATTCCACTTTTAAAATGCCCACCCGCATTCAAGAAGCCAACTAAATGGTCGGACGGGAAGTGGTTAATAGTAAATGATTCACTACCAGTGAATGTTTGATATCTCCCCCAAGAAGCCCCAGCCAGCAGTAAAATCTGACAGAGGTTCTAACAATTCTCTTCACGCGCCAAAACTGAAAAAAAAAAGTTTTTGGGCTAGAGATGTTTTCTAATTCAGGACTTCCTTCTCACATTTAAGCTGGCCATACACGGCTTGAATTCTGGAAATGACCCAGCAACCAGTTTAAAAGACTGGCATTGCCGAGTCATTTCCGGAGAGTTCCCAGGCATGGAAATAAGCGATCTCACAAGAGGCTGATATAGTGTTCTAAAGGTGTGTAAAAAAAGGAATTTTGTAAAATATTACTAGTATATTCTGAGGAAATATGTACAGAGAGTGTGCAATGTACTGTGTACCTACTTTCACATCTGACCCCAAATCTCATGTGAGTGAGAATATAAAGAATTAATTTATCTTATGTGTAAACCGCTTTGCGACAGGATAAACATACCGCGATCACCCACTGCTTACTTATTTGGGAAAATTATATGTTTTCCTCCCTCTACCATCACTATTCAGTGTTACAGACATAGGAAGACCGGATAGAGACACAGAAAGCTGCCAGATTTCATTGCTGGTATGCTAACCTAAGATATTGGCCAACACTATAAAATGTCCCCATTGATGTTCATAGAAGATCAGGTTACATCTGACA